TATTCCTAGGCCCTTCTCGAGTGCAGTAGTACTTTTATTACATGCATTTGTTAATTAATAAGTGAATAAATAAATAAAGAGAATATAATGAAACCATTCTAGCGAGACGCACACATCGGCTCATCTCCGTACTCAAACTTTCTTCGCATTGTATGTAAGTCATATTCATACTTTCAATTCCCTTAATTCTTGCATTTTTCTCAGTAATTTTGTTATAGTCGTTGGAATTTCAGAATAACGCTAAAACAATTGCATGATTGAAAAATAATAAAACAAGTTTGTGTGACTTTGAGCACATTACTTGCAATGCTCCTTTGCACTAGAATTTTATCTAAAATATCATACTTGATCTCTTATTGTGGAAACATTTGCATATTTCTTCCCTGTCGCAAGTACTTTCTTGCGAATTACTCTTTCATTAAGTGATGCATACTGACAAGGCAAGGAATAAGTAACAAAGAAAGAAAAACGCTTCGTTTTACTATTAATGCGCATCATTTAGTGCATATTCAAATGGCGAAAAATGTTTTTTTTGCATATATAGACATGCAGGTAGGTATCTGTAGAATCCTGCATGCAGCAATGCTAAGAATATCCCACTTTTGATCTTCTAGTGCAACTTTCCATATCTGATCAACGTACAATGTGCACATAAGAAAAGGATTTGACATCATGAACGACATCTGGAAAGGCTGGATGTGGTGGCACAAATTTCAGCTTTCTCTCGACGAGGATTTGTTCTTTTGTTTAACTTATGTAGAATCATTTTAAGGTGTTAGCCTTTTTTTAGAGAGCTACAGTTTGCTGCTCTCAAATTGTGGCTGATATTGGTATTGCTGTTTTCCCATCGTTATTGCTGGCGTTAATTCAGATGCATATACAAAGCAGAAATAAGATGTAATTTGATATATTGAGTAAAATTTTATGACTAATTGATATATGATTGGACGCTTTATGCAGTGTTTTTGAAATATCAAACTGAATAAACAGAAACTAGGTGAAAAGAAAAAGAAAGTTTATCAATACTGTAATGTGACTGATTATTGCATGTAGCAAAATTAGCGTATTACTAATGCCTGATTAGGTAGTATTACTATTAATATTGTTACTATAATTATCGCTTACTAATTATTACTATCATGGCGATCTAATGCTCAAATAAAACTGCAACTATTTAAAGTTTATTTGCACTGAATTCAGTGAAAAACTATTTCCATTGTAGAGTACGGCTAGCTCCATGGTTCACCCATGGATTCACCCTGCGAACTAATTCCCAAAATGACTATTTTTGGAAAGCTTGCGAGATTACCGAAGCTTTTAGCTTATCAATGAACCGTTCAAGGACTTCAGCGGTGCATGTCACATCTCGAATACTTGAGATACCTTCTGCGCAACCACCAAACAAAACTGGCATATGCTCAATTACTTGTAATGATTTCATCGCCCGTTCTAGATTTTTCAAGCACTAAATGATTCATACATTTGCGGCAAGGAAAACTACAATTAATTGATTTGAACGAAAACAGTTTGAATGTAAGGTACAACTTCAAATAAGCAGCAGTTTCAGAAAATATTAATGTATAGTTTTTCTTCCAAAATGAATTTGAAAATAGCTGAGATTTGCTTGTGCGTGAGAAAAGAATTGAATTACCAGTAAATAAGTCCCGACCATTTCGGTGACACCATTAAGTTCAGAAATTGTTGGAAAGTTGGTTTGCTGCGAACCCAATATGAGTTTCGTCCTCTCTGCGCTTCCGTACTAAACATCCATGCCTTATTTTGTGCTGCTTTTTTATTCGCACCTTTTTTCACAACATAACATTTTGTACACAGTCAATCTCAAAAATGAAGATAGGAGTTGCATGCCACGATATAAGTAAAGCAGATTTCAATGAAAACTACAATTCGCTTAGTCTCAAATGAATTTCCGAGTCTCTAATATGATTTCAGATATGGATTCTGATTCCCAGGGAAAGCAGGGAATGAATACCTTTTCTGTGCTGTCAGCGTTGGAAGAGGTTGGCGATGAGTGTGATTGACAACAGCAATTCCAGCTTAGGATGTCGATACCTTTTTGTAAAGTCTGTTCTATCTTTTGGGTGCATTCCAGTTTATCGGCAAGTTGTATCAATCGCCTTTCAATGCGCCATAATGGGTCATTTACATTTGCTGCTGTTGCCCATTTGCCGTAATTTTTTTTATAACTGAAAACTTTTTTTGCTTGATATTATGGCAGTGGTAAACATATTCCTAATATCATGCCTTTATTTCTACTAAATTCATGATGGAATTTATTCACATATCAATCTTCAAATGGACATATCAAATTTCAAATAAGATGTTTTATTTGCACTGATTTTACTTTTATTTGAGATTCATTTGTGTGATACGTGAATCTGATTGTCAGCCAATCAACTTTACGCACACAGTCTCGTAGTAATTAACTTACTTACTGCAATCACATAATCCTTTGATTTTATTGTTTATTTTAATATGTTGGCTTTGCAGAATGTCTTCCCAATCGTGATTAAGATCGTTCACTTTATTATCCATCTTAAAAAGAAAATTGTTACGGTAAACAAATACGAATGCGTAATCTGTAAATGCAGTGACTGCAGTGGCGTGGGAAAGAACAGCCTTGTGCTGATTCAATTCTTCTCCACTTTTTTATGAAAAAGCTTGAAGGATAACCTCAACTATAATTCTATTTGTGCTATCATTCATTTGTTCCAGAACTTCATTCAATTCCCTGATTTTTTTCGACATCAAATGTCTTTCCATTAGCTTACCCTCAAACATAAGTTATGGAAGTCAAAGGCCGTGTTGCAAGAGTTTTCCTTTTCCCACTTTTTATCAGTAGTCTGCCATATCTCGAGGCTTTGCAGACATAAAAACGACTAAAGTTGATTAGTGTGAAGCTTTTAGAGAATGAACCTTTAAGGCAGTGATAACTTCATTTACATCACGTATAGCCATATTGCTATTCCAAGCACTCTGCAACATCTTCACAATAATTACAGTTGCTAAACAGACAGTAATTCATTTTACTTCTGAATTCAAAACTGTGCAATTATATTTACGAAAAAGAAAATGTTATACATCATGATTGAATTGCAACGTGCACTTGAATTTTCTTTACTGACGTACTCTTTAAAAGTTCACCTACTTCACACTGGTCCTTACTTCATTCATTACAGTTTTTCCTATATTTTTAATATACTTAACATTAAGAAAAATAGTTGGCCATTTATATTCGCAAATGAACGTATCCGATGCAGCTGGATTTGATGTACCAAATGAATTTAGTAAATGAGCTGATGTGTAGATGACTCATGACTCAGATTTAGATCAGTGTTGTAGCTAGGCTGGTAGACACAGATGAGATCAATATAAATCCCACCGATCTAAATATTTGTGCAGCGCATTTATCAGAAGAACTTGAATAATCCAATGAAGATTCCTTCGAAGAACTGTTCTCATTTTGCTCTCGAGACATAGCTTCTTGTTTTATAAAGTGTCTCCTACCAGACGTAAGATTCTATCGCACACGAAAAGCGCCCACACTAGCGCCACTGAATAAACATATTTTCTTCTTTCCTTTTATGCTTCAGTTTTATTCTATGCAAAAATAATACCATGAATTCATAAACCTTCTTATATCATTTCAACTCAAGCAGTTTAATGAGAACCGCATTTTAAGTTAGAAATGGGACAGAACTTTGTCATAGCGTATACATGATCAGCTTATTTGTACACCTTGGTGCTCTAGAAAGACTGAATTTACTGATTAGTTTTTCTACTGCATTACTTTAGTTTCGTCAATGTTCTCTTTCATTATTAGCCTAACAGTGTTTGTGATTGAATAAAATTAGTTCACGGTTATGACTAATCTTGACTGTGAAGTGTAGTCAAATTACAAAATTAAATGGTAAGAATTCATGCAGGCTTCAATTTTCATAGATTTTGCAGGTTCTCGTATGAATGCTCGCAGTCATCAGTTCCAGCTAGTAAGTTTGTGTACTCCTCCAAAGTGTTTTTGCATTTTATTGTTTCTAATCTGTTGCACTTTCAGGTGCTTATTCTACTTTTCGTATAAATTTGTTGTGGATTTTTATTTCATGCCTTTTCAGACTGTTGATGAGTACCAAGTGCGAGATGCTCTTTCTACTATATTTCACACAATACTGCTGCATAGAAGTTTACCTAAAGTGAGGCTTTTGCTTTAAACTATAAGTATTAGACCTGTTATCTATAAGGCTTTCATTTTTTAAAGATTAGTTATGCAAAGCTTTTTCGCTATATTAGTTAGAAAAATGCATGTCCTAAGATTTGCATTGAAACTCTTAAAAAACCATAATTACATTGCAAAAATGTATAGATTTTGACTTGCATCGAGATTAATGCATTATTAGATATTTTATTCAGATAAATTATACTAGCGAAATAAATTTCCAACTTGGGTCTATTGGAGTCGAAGAAATAGATTGTAGCAGCTTAAATTTGAGCTATGTAAGTCTTTTTTCCACTGTCATTAGGCATTTTTGATCATTTATATAATGCTTTATAATTACTTGGGACATTTTTTTAAAGCATCAGTAATAATATTCATAGTTAAAGTCTAAGTTTTTTTTCCTTGCATTAAATGCCGAGACTTTGTACATTGGCTCGAAATGTTCCGCATTGATGTCATATTTTATATAAGAAAATGCAGCTCTGCATATTTCAGAGTTTTTATTAGTGTTTTCATTATTTGAAAGACTATTGAAAAGTAAAGTGGTGATTATTAAAACGTTCAGGTACGTGTAAATAGTCCGAAATTGGTGACATTTGTGCAGGAAGAAATTGATTCATTTGTGCAGTGCATACGGCAAGCTGTCGAAAATGTTGCCGCACCCCGTTTTTACTCACCACCTCCAGTATCGCTGCTCAGTCATTATGGTACACCACTTTTAAATGCCAAGTTCGTTTTCATTTGTTTCCTAAAATAATTCATTCATTTCGTTTCATGTATTTAAAAAAATAGGGATCTAAATATCAATTTTTATTAATGAAGGCTGATTATTCACTTGAAATCCTAGATCTTTAATTTGAATAGAGTAGTTTTTGCCAATATGATAAAACAGTTTCAGAGTACTTAATCTTGAAGTACTAGTTACTGTTCGTGCCATCAGAAATACTTTTTAAGGATTGATTTGGAATTTTATCAAAAAAGAAAGCGGTCTTGGCCTTTATCAAACTACGACATTCCATGGGAAATTTGGCATATGCAGCTCGGTGTTGTTAGAATTAAGGAACGTGGTGAGTTCCTGGATTCTAGTTGTTTTTTTTAATTGCCTGAAAGAACTTATGTTATAAGTATTCTCTCTTTTGTTGCTTTAAATGTTATCATAATTCCTAATTTGCTGATTTCTTCTAGGTGGATAAATTTGTTTAATATATTCCCATATTTATAAGATACTTCTCGTTAGGTGATACAGTGTTAGTCTTTTTGTGTTTTATTCGATAATTGTTTATCAGTTTTCAATGGATCTTTTTTCGTCTATGGCTTATTTCTTGCATATGATAATTGTTTTTGCAGTTTATTTCACCTAGAACTTATTTTTTAGAGTACTGGGAGCGAATGCGAGAAGAAGTTGCAGATTCGGTCTCAGAAATCGTGCTAAAAACATGTTCACTAATTAGTCGACCTCAGTACATGCCGCAAATGCCTGCACGTTCGGAAGTAATGAGTATCTTCAATACATCTTATCTTGAATGTCAGCCTTATCTTTTTCGAGTTATCAAGCATCCTCTTAACTCTGGTTCGTAGTCATATTTTCTTTTTTGTCGAAGTCTAGATTTGTTTACTCAATATTTTTGTATTTTTTTCTTTTTGCATAAAGAAGTAATATGATATACTTTTAAGTAATATGATATATTTTTTTCAGCTCTCACTAAAATTAGGAGAACAAAACTATAGAAATAGATATGAAGCTTTTAAGTGCGTATAATTCACGAATTTTCCTTGTGGACAAATGTAAAGCATCTTAAATATGTTTTAATGACTAGCAATTTCAGGTCAGAATACAGAAAGTACTTTAATGACGATCGGCGCATCAGCAGTGAAAAAAATGCTGAGAGACACTTTCTTGTCATAAAACTTATTCCCTATAAAATGTGCTTGTTTGTGTAGGCAATGTCTGCAAAATTTTTGTATTTAATCTTGTAGTTCAGGACGTATCCTGTTTTTATCCACCGTCTCATTATTTGACTCACCCTTTTCATTGTGTATAGAATATTTCTTATTTAGGATTTGAAGATTTCACGTTTTCATCATCCACGTTGTAAATACTTCTCGGGAAAGAGTGGAAAAAGAATATGTAAAAAAATTTCTCATTTTTTCAGCCTTTAGTTCGTCGCATTAATATTGAGATTGCATAAACCAGAGTTATCTAATGCCTGTATTTAATTTTTCCGAAAGTCATAAAAAGTTGTGTAGTCCCAAATGTGTTAGCAGCTGTATTAACATTTATACTATTTTATCACTAGTTTTGTCGTATTACTCAGAATATTGTTATTGAGTTTGTGTATTTTTACTTCTAGATTTCTACTTTATGTATATGTGTGTTTTGTATTTCCTTATGCAATTAACCGTGACTTGGTACTTGACAGAAGTGCTATGTATTCATTACAAATCTGTATATAATTGTAAATTTAGCTACTGTTGTGTGGGCAGTTTTAAGTCACATCGCTACAAATATTGATAAAAATCTCAATAAATATTTGTGATCATTTATTATGTATAATTTTTAGATCACTTACCTCATTTAACAATGTGTAGAATTGATCTAACGAACTGTATTTCAAATATTTGCGGTAATGTGTTCATGTATTTATATTCTTTACATCTATTGTGTAGTCGGTAGTTGGCATAATTTTTGATATTTCTGTCGTGTTTGTTTATATTTTCGTGTAGCACTGCGTGTCCTTGATTAATTGTTACATTTTTACACATTTTGCTGAAATTTTGAGGCAGAATTCGAATAAAGCTTGTTTAAGTCTTCGGTTTACTTTGAAATACTAGTGCTCTATTTAGCGATGCGGCCGAATTTTCGAAAAATTTTGTCATTTAGTTAACTAGAACATGAGACGGATTTAGTGGGGTGCTCGTAACTGGAATTAAAGTATTTTTATGAGTGCGGATGGATTGTGATTACATTTTCATGATGGCTTCTTTAGTAGGCTATTTATCCCATTCTTTATAGGTCTTATATGCATAGCACATCCGCATCATGCGGTTGCATGACAGCAGAGTGGCTGAGTGATCAGTTGGCAGATTTCATGTATGAACTTGAAGATGACTTAGAGGGTGGTTTCATCACAAGAGGTGCTTTTTTGTTTTTGTAGGATATGATATTCATAAGTGTAAGAATAAGTGCTTTGGTGGCTTTCAGATGATGATTATTGTATTTATGTTGTACATTTTGGGAGGTTGTCGGACGCATATTCGAGTATTTGATGACCATATGAATGGCTAAAATTTGCCTAGACTTAGTCGGTGTTAGTCGTCAGAGTTTTATATATTGGTCCAATTGTTGACTTCTAATTTTAATACCAACAAAAAAGATTGTGTATTACACTTGTTAATTGATTGCAAGTAATATAAATTTGGAGCAAATGAGTTGTCGAATCGATATGGGAAAACAAGCGAGGATTTTGTGAGTGAGTTGATTGCATTTGTTACGAATCTGAAGCAAACATACGTAGACCGCTTGGTGTTGGACAGCTTCGAGCAACAAGTATTAATCATCAATTTTTCCCAAAAAAAGCTAATGAAGCTAAAAACTGCCTCATAAAAAATTATTTGTTATGTATTCGGCTCAATGTCGCGTTTTTTAAAGTTTCTGTTGGTTGTGAAGTTAAATTTGCATATTATTACTTTCAGGTGCTTCTGAAAGATCTCCGAAGGGGGGAAGGTGGATCGTTCGACGCATACCCTGCAAAGTAAATTTAAACATATTTCATAAGTCTTCATCTTATTCTAAGAACTTTATATTTCTAATATAAATTTTCAAAATGTAAAAACATTATTTTAAAAAACTTAAAGGATTAAAGCAAATTTTTTACCGGCATAAATATCGATATGTTTATGTGCAGTTGTTATCTTTTCAGTACATAAAAGCGGAAGAATTGTTAAAATTTCATTACGAACACCAATTAATTTTGCTAGTTGCATATCTTTTCTTGTTTTCAGAATTGTACATAATGAACGCAATGAGAATTCGTGGATTGAAGAAAGTAAGATACCTGATGCTCACTTCTTCAATGAAAATATAACTTTGTCGGAGAGATATTTGTTATTTACCCCTGTTAAGTTAGTGGATTATAGTCATTTGTTTTTTTTTGCAAAGCTCAAATATTCAGTTCCATCCATTTTATTGTTTGAGAGGTTTGTGTAATTTTATATTTCTTGTTTGGTTTAGGAAATCGCAGTCTGATATAAATTATCATGCACGCAAGAATTCGGGCAAAATCATCATTGAATTTGCTGGGCGTAATGTTATAGAGAAAGACAATGCAGTCAGGAGAAATATTAGGAAAGTTTCTGTGGAAAATCTATGTGTACAAGATTCAAAAAATTTGGTGCGATTCGGAGCTGAGAAAATTGTAGAGCAAGCTGAAGGTAATGGATCCTGTATTTTTAACTATATATATATATATATATATATATATATA